AGGAAGTAAGGTAATGACGCTTAAAGCCATCACACACTTACACACACTCCCGCAGACATGCAGACACACGTTAGCCCATCGACCTGTATAACTTGTCTCGTCAGCGATTGTGTGCAGTTCGGTGTGTGCGCGCGTCTGTACGTGTGTGTGTGCATGCGGTGTTTAATATTTAATGGGCGCTGGTTAAAAATGCAGGAGTGTTTTTGTCTCTTGTCCCATTGCACACCTGTTCCTCTTCAGGGAGAGGGAGAAAGGGAGGGAGACAGATGGACGGATAGAAGGAAATAGATAGAGAATGTATAGAAAATGGATGGACTATGTACAGTTACATTACAGTGTGTTTATATGTGTTAATGGTAGGGTGGGGATTAATGGAAAAAAACAGTGCACAGGTTTCACAGAAATTTTATGGACCGTTATATCATCCCATTTTAGATTTCATTATAATGGACATACCAGGAAGAGGCAAAAAGAGATGAATGCAGCTATTAGAGTTATTATTCAAACCATTTACTTAGAATTGTTATGGTATTGCAAGCTGCTAAGGATAAAACCTTCCCTTTTCTCAGGGAGATGGCGGTTTTGCCTCAGTTCCCTCTTGACCTTATGCAGAATTAAGGGTATGGGAAATGGGTGGATGCTGAGGTCCTAATCTTAGCACTTAGAGGCGGGATTCACTTGTACTCATTTCAGGCATCAACAGTCATGTTTCTCATTCCTTTGATTGGGATGCCGTCTTGTGTTGGAGAATGGGGAGCTGTTCCTTCATTTTTGCTAGCGTAAGTTACCCCTGAAAGCTAAACTTTTCAGTGGCAATGCAGATGTTGGCCAGTTAAATAGCTTTAATGATGACATGTTACATCTCAAATGTCGTTCCCACCCACAGTTTAGCATCAATCCTCTGTGTCAACCGTTGCTAAATGGTTAAAGCATTGAGAGTGGCTGGACTTCCCTGATATTGCTCTTAGTAGAAATGTCCAGGGTGGACCAAGCTGGATGTGGAAATAGCAAATTTAAGGTTTTTCCAGAGATTATTATTACGTAAGAGGTCCAAACTCTGGCTGTGTTGTTGTAGGACTTTCTGGGGTTTTCTCGTTGAGATGCGAAACCTTCCCATCACTGTGTTCAACTTTTGGGATGGCATTGATGATGTGGACCTTAGCGCCTTGTGTCTTCCACACATGCCATGGATATTTATCATCAGATTGCGTTTCATGTGACCAAAAGCTTCAGTTTGTCATGGTCTAAGAGCCCATCAGGGGTTTTTTGGTAATCTCCCAGCAGGATGTTTTGTGTCCTTTCATGAAGAATGGCATCTGTCTGACCATACAGACCTGATCGGTGGAGGGGTGAACTGACTGGTTATCGATTCAGAAATACTATTTTTTTCATGGTTCACTCAGTTTGTCAACAAAGCACTCTAGTTCCTGGCTTTGCTGCTTAAATTTTATATTCTATATTCTATGTAATCTACCATGAGATCTTATTTCTGCCTTGATATGATATATTGAAAGATGAGTACAAGACAGGGAGAGTATACTGAGTTTTACAACTTAAGCAGATGTGAGAAAATGGACGACAGGAAGTGGAAAGATGAATAGTTACTGAGCAGTAATAGATAAATAGAGCGAAAAGAGAAAAAAGGGGTAAAGGTGTCACCAGTTAATCAATACACTTTCCCTGTTTCCCTCCATTCTGCGTTTTAAGGCGATTTTTTTCTCCTTTATTATTCTCGCTCTACTTCCCTTATCAATCAATACTTATTATTGCTTACCTCACCCTACCTCTGTCTCTCTGTCTTTCTTTATTTTCCACCTCTCCCTTCTCAATGTTGAAAAGAACGACAGAAAAAGAGAGAGAAGGAAACACACACAATGAAGTCATTCATCTGTCCAATCAAAGAGGCGGAAGCCCAGAGGAAAGTAAACATCCATCTCTCTCTTCTCTCTTTCTCGTGAGTCCGTGAGCGCCCATGATTATGATGCCTCGCTGTGCGAGTGTGTGTGTGTGGACAGACATATATCCTATTTCTCTGGTGTCTCTTTAAAAAGAATAGATTGTTCTTCTGCGACAAACAAAGAGTAAAGACACACAGTGAGGGAGGATGTAAGGCGGTGGCAGAATTTATGATGGTTGAAAGATGTGTGGGAGAGTAAAGGTAAAAGGGATTGAAGGACAGAGGAGAAAATTGTATAAATGTCCATAAAACAGCAATTCTGATTGGGGAAAAAGAAGGCAATCAATAGGAAAATGGTGTGACATCATTTGACATCAAGGTGGGGGATGGCAAAATGACAGAGGTAATAGAAGGAAGACAAAAGGGATGGATGGATGGATGCATAGAAATAAAGAGGGGAAGGTATTAAAATGTTGTAATAAGAAAAAAAACATTGATGCACATGTGTTTCATATATGAACAAATGTAATTGTTAAACAAAAACTTTGATATATAGTTTATTTCTGTGTTAGCTTAAGTAAACTATGCTTGGGCTACTTTTATGTTTAGAAAATGGATGGATGGATGGATGGATGGATGGATGGATAGTTCCAAAGCAACCAACCCTTGGCACACATTGATTGGCAAATTTTGGCAAATTACTGTATGCTGGTAATAAAGTTGGTAAGTATAATCTATTGCTGTATTTTACTGGTATTGTAGTTCCAATTCTTGGGCGTCTATGTTGCCCTAAAAGAATGAACACTGTCTCAATTTTTATTCTTCTTGTAACCAGTCGCCTTCTGAAGCCTTAAGGGTGGTATGATGATTCATAGGATGATTACTGTCTGAAAGCACAGTCTGAGATATATGTCACACCATTAGTCCGGACGATCAAACAGTTAAGCCTAGTTCCAATAAAAATGTAAAGGGAGACTACAGTGAAAACTACAGTGATTACAGTGAAAACCTGTCATACCTTGGGGAAAATGCAGTTGGAACTCAGTGCCATGCTACAGATTAGCCTGAGTATATCGAGGATGAAGGTTCATGACATAAATAACTGCTTGGTTAATAAAGGCATTTGTCAGATAAGTTGCAAAATGTTAAGTGAGCACATTTAAATGCTTGTCATGCAATAACTTCAAGCTGCAAGTACAGCATGATTAACCTTTTTAATTATTTCATTCAGCCAAATCACAGACCTTGGTTAAATATTAAAAACATAAGCAGCGACTTGCAGCACGAGACGCACCATGTTGACTTTATTAAGATCTAATCAAAGCCATAACTTTTCTCCCAACTTAATCCTCACTCAGGATTTGTAATACCACCAATATTACTAGTCAAAATTTCTGGCACTTTCTTTTTCCAAATAAAGAAACAATTAATTAAGACGTATGATCTCACCAATTGAAAAATGTAGCATTGTGTTTGAAGCATTCTTTATGGGATATATAACGGAAACATGCAGAGAATCATTCACAAATGCAAATAAATGACAAATTCAGCCACGTTTTGAGCAATACTGGGAAAGTTATTCAAAAACCCTCCCTGATTTATTTATTTACTATCGATGTTTGTTTTAAGGAGAAACAAAATAAATATTTTTTTATAGCTTTGAATACATTCTCTTTTATTAAAAATATTATCCAAATCTATTTGCATTTAGACTCCAACAATTAGCCATGCACTCATTCCTTTCAAACATAAGAAGAATAAGAAGAAAAAAAGTTAGACTGATAGAGACCAAATTCAAGTGGAGGGACAAAAAGATGGGATTATAAAGGATTGAAATTGAAAACTAAAAAATCTGGGAAAGAGGAGGAGAGATGGCAAAAAGAACCAGAGGTACAGGTAAACAGATAAGGACCCCGATCAAGAGATGAAAGAAGTGAAGGAGTGAAAGATGAAAGATCTCAGCTTTTAGAAGGTTGACCCCTTGCTCTGCTCGACGTATTGACAGCATCAGGCTTTGATAAACTATGCTGTGTGTTTGTGTGTGTGTTTGGTGTGTGTGTGACCTCTGCACGTTCTGAGATAAATCAATCTGTCAAACGCTTTTGCGACTCCGTGCTTATTCACCGCCATGCCTGTTGGTGTGTGTTTTGGATATGTGTGCGTGCGTGTGTGTGCGCTGCTGACCCTGACCGGCCATCAGAGCCAATGACGGAGTATTGATCAAGGCTCCGTCACCATAGAGACGGCCATTTGGATAGACAGGCGAGGGGGCGCATGTGTCAAAGTGGGAAGACTTACTTCAAGGTGGCTCATCACATGGAGGGTGTATGTGTGTGTGTGAAATGTCAGCTCCGTGTTTTCCATTCATGGCGTGTTTCAGCTTCCTTGAACAATTAAAAAGGTCATAAATGCATACAAATACATCGGCAGCAAACAATTGCGGTGTGTCTAATCTGAAGTAACTTCACTCAGTGACGTCCATTATAACATCGCTGCCATGATTCATGCCAGCATGTGTTGTTTTTATTTTGTTGTTGTTATCTGCACTCCAGAAATCAATTATTGATATTTCAGAAGAGAAATGTACAGCAAAGAGGAAGTCAGAGGAACAGTTTAATCTACATTAACGGTGTCATTTAGGTTATCTACCCTTTTCACTTTTTAGAAAAGGAAAAAAATAATCAAACATCACTGAACCAGGAATTTTGTAATGTGTGCATTCCACATCCGTTACAGTTAAGGTCACAGTAGAAGCAAGAACTCTGTGCATGGCCTTGGTCTTATTCATTCTGTCTCTGAGAATAAATCTTTATCAAAGGCCCCTTCCTGTATGCCAAAATTATCAAAGGAAGTTTATGAGGATGGACTGTGCAGATTCCATGCAATTTGTTACCTGAAACCTATTAGGTCATTATGATCTGTGGAAGAGAAAAAAAACTAAACAACTTAGATTATATATGTTTTCTTGAAGTGATATTTCACCTTTGGCTTTTTTTAACTTGTAAATTTTAATGACCCATTCTGACACGATGGTGTAGAGATGTGCAATAGTGACATTTCTTTATGGAAAGGAAAAAAAGAGAAAGGGTTGTTTGACCCAAGCCTGCCAAGTGATTGTAGATTTTTTAATGTTTCCAATGCAAACCTACTTTAGTGGAAACAGTCATTTGCCAGTCAGAAAGTTGGCTGTGCAACTCGTGTCAAAGTGACCCTGACAATTTCTGACCTATGTAACAATCGGAAATAGCAATATTTTGATACGTGCAGCTTTATTGAAGATTCAGCTGTATTATTATGCACTCAAAACTTTGCATTTTGACAGTCCAATGGAGTGAATACAAGTCAGCCTGAAGTGGTGCTCCAGTGTATTATGTGTGCACATGACACCAGTTTTCAGCATTTTTTATTTCCATCTGCTTAACGGTAATTTGAGGAGTCCAGATTTGGTCAGAAAAAAAAACATTTACCTTTTTCCCATGAAAATATGCTCACTGTCTTTTGATGGTGAGCTGAAATCTAAATGGCTGCTGCAAAGATATGAGATAGAACAGGCACAGGAAGTTAGCTGCTGCCTCAGTGTACACGTGGGAATGTGGGCATGTACAAAAATGGCTGCCATGCCTCACACTGACTTTCCGTGTGTGTTTCATTGAAGAAACGTGAACCAGTGGATTATATATGGATTTGTTCCCCTTTAAAAGTTTGACTGCTGTAGAGGTTAAGGGTTAACAAAT